AATTCTACCTCCAGAACATCTTCAAGAAGCTCACTGAGATGATCCAGTCTCATAGAATGCTCCAGTCAGGACTTGACCATAATCCTAAATTTTCTTTGGGTCTCCATAAGATTACCAGCATCCCAGTGAGGAATAAGTAGCCTAAAAAACTATGCCCACATTCAAAACAATGGATTATAGATGTTTGTCTTTGTTTAACATGTTGGTTACAAGTGGATAATGATAAAGAAAAAAAAACAAAGGAAATGAGATTAAGGTTCTTGTTTTGAAAAGAAGAAAGGGAGAACTGCTATGGGATAATGCTTTTGTACACTGTAAAGATTTATCACACACATTGGTTTAGTAAAATGGTGATTGATCAGTAGCCAGGCAGGAAGTATAGGTGGGGCATCCAGACTAGGAGAATTCTGGAGAGAGAAAAGGCAGAGATGCAGACACCACCCAAACACAGAGGAAGCAAGATGAAAATACTACACTAAGAAAAGGAACCAAGCCACGTGACTAAACATAGACAAGAATTGTGGGTTAATTTAAGTTGTAAAAGCTAGTTAGTAATAAGCTTAAACTAATAGGTCAAATAGTTTATAATTAATAAAAGCCTTTGTGTGTTTCTTTGGGGTTGAATGGCTGTGGGACTGGACAGGACAGAAACTTCCATATAGAGAGTTCAGAGGACAATTGGAAGAAGTTGCCTCCCATCTACTATGTAGTTCTCATTGTTAGAACTAAGTCCACAGAGTATGAGTTAATGTCTTTATCTGCTGAGCTATGGTGCTGATAATTTCTGTGGAGCATTTGAATTGTGATCTTTAGTATGACTGCCATCCTACAGATACTTAATAATAAATAGTCATTTCTAAATTATTTTTTGTAGGAATTTTACACACAGTACTAAAATCCACTCCTAATCTTTCTGCCCCAACCTCCAAAGTAATTGCAAACTGATTTGAGCAACTTTCTCGTACGGGTGTTTTGCTGAGTCTGGAGACAGCTTCCCTCCATGACAATCATTACTCTCACTCTCTGATGATATCTTCCTGCATAAAGGCTAAGTTTTCTCTGAGAACCTCCACTCTACACATGAAAAATAGTCTCACACCTCTGTGGGACACCTCTGAGGAACACAAATGGCTAACCAACAAACACTATGACATCCCTTTCTTAACGGCTACCAGTCCACATTTTATTTTAAATCACATGTTTTTTATCAAATTATTTCAGAATTTTAAATGGAAAATAAAATAAATACTTATTTTCAATTAATAAATATATAAATGAACTGTGTTTTTTAAAAACAAATAAATTTAGTTGTCTGGTGATGGCTCAGCAGTTGAAAGCACTCATTATTCTTGCATCCTGGTTTTCATTCTCAATAGCCACATGGTAGTTCACAGACAACTGTAATTCCAGTTCTAGGTGATTAAAGCCCTGATGTGAAATGCGCCTCTGTATACTGTGAATATGTTTTACTACCATTTGTTAATAAAGAAGCTTCTTTGGCCTATTGCAAGGCAGAATATTTCTAGGGGAGAAATCCAAGAAAAGGCACAGGGGAAAAGAAAGATTCTGAGAGACAACAGTGATATCTGAAGAACCAAGATGTGAGACAGCAGGTTACAAGCCTTGTGGTATAATATAGAATAATAGGAATGGGTTAATTTAAATGTAGGAGCTAGCTAGCAGGAAATCTGAAACCATATAACAAACAATTTGTAATTAATTTTAAACTTCAGAGTAGTTATTTGGGAACTGGTGGGCAGGGTAGAAGCTTCTAGATACAAACACCTCCATCTGTCCTCCACAGGCACTTTATGCATGCAGTACACATACAAATATGTAGGCACACACTAGTGCCATAAAATACAAATAAATTCATCTATAAAAATAAAGTGAAAAATTTGGAGTATAACATAAAGTGAGAAGATTGAAGGGACTTATTTGTAGGAAAAAGCCGTGAAGAAAGAATCTTACATCTCTAAGAAATCACAGGATTGTGTCCTAATTCAAATTTAACAGCACTGATTCAAATTTCACACAGGGCATATGACCACATCACTATGCTCAGTTCTCAAAGCTTCCTTTTCTCAAATTAATTTGAATGTTCACATATTTGAGTAAATTTATGCATTTCATTTATTTACTCTTCCTTTATCCAGACAATCAATAATACCAATATACATAAACAAAACAAATTTATATAAATTACATCAGTTAACCTAATTTATTGTTCATGATCACATAAAGCAGCTGTTCTCAACCTTTGGGTTGCAACCCCATCAGAAATCACAAATTGTCAATAGTCTTAGGAATTGAGACACTGCACCTTACTCCCTTTCTAGGCAAATCCCCCAACATTCAGATTTGAGTACCCAGAACTGTACTGATCGAAACATCAAGCATTCCTAATATCAAAATGCAACAATGGAAAACACAGATCAATATTCCTCCAATCTCAGAAACAAACTAAAAGATAAAGAACACTTCTGAAAGAATCATTAAAAGTTTTTATCCAGAATGTTCACAGACTGTCCAAGTTGTACATAAGCAGGGCACAACAGCTGGTTGATGAAGGTACCAACAGTCCAACCTTTCAAATGGTCTTGAAACTTCAGTGACCTTACATTTTTGTATTTTAAACACATAAGACTTTTCATGACAGTGAGACAGGTCTGTTCCTGGAAGTATCAATTTACTTCAAAAGAGGATGATGAACATCAAAGACTTTCCATATGGAGCTTGCTTTAGTTTGTGACAAAGTTAGTCAGTGATCAAAGAAACTGTTTGCCTCAACTGCTAATAGTATACTGTCCAAATTGGACAAGCAGGACACAAAAGAAGGCAATAACTGAACTTTATCGAGACACAGTAGGACAGTCCTTCAGAATTCCTGCTTCACAGAAAAGTCTGTGAGATATCTTAGGCATGTAGGCTGTAGAGGTATGTCCCAACATTTCAGAATAACCTCGGAGTGACTATACAGGCAGCCAGATTTCTCTGTAATTTCTTAGTTTTGGAGGTTGCTTCATCTGCACTTTCTATTTAGTCAGGCAATATCATATCCTTCTCAGGTCTCTAGAGCAGATAATGACAAGGTAATAACAGCTACAGACTAAGCTAGAATGGATATAATATAATATATTAATTAATTATAATATAATTAATATATTATAATATAATATATTAAGATAGATAGATAGATAGATAGATAGATAGATAGATAGATAGATAGA